GAGAGGGTCAAGCCTACCGGAACACCGGAACCGGAAGGGTGCGGAACCTAGGCGACCGACGACGTGCCGGACAGTGCTGGCTCGCACTGATTACCCGCTGATGAAACGTACCGGCTCGTTGACTTCGGCCCAGGGTCGTCATTAGGGGACAACCCCCCCTCCCCTTGGGTTCGGCTGGACGCTGGAAAAATCGCGCTACGCATCGTTTGTACTGACTCGTGTAAAAGTTTATGTGGATCGTTCGGTTGCTGGCTCCACGATGTTTTAATCAACAATATGTCTAGTTTTGTAGGATTTAAAATTAGTAATTATTCATATTAGACCTGGGATTATTATATGGCTTCTATCCTGAGAAGGTGTAGCCATCACTGTCATAGAATGAAAATAATAACGAATGATCGTGCACTATTGCAATTTTTTACTTTTTACTTATCTTTCGGTTTTCATCTACCATCTTTGAGTACATACAAATTGTAAAGCGACGAATAGATACCTAGAATTGGTCTCATTAAAATCTGAAAATCGATATACTTTGATAAATTAACCAACATTTCGTGGTACAGGTGATACATAGCTTAGATCTTCCATTTACGAATCCCTTTTCGATATTCTACCTTTGAAATTTCATTCTTTTTCAACGTCTCTCGATCCCTTCACAGTTTCGACACCATCTCGTCTACACTCGATAAAGGCATGGATATACGTTCTCGTGAATGGAACAAATAAATAATTACAGCGTATCGATCGGTTCGAGTGCCATGAGAGTTTCCAGTCGACGGTATGGGAATTTCGCGGGGGTGGTGGATCAAAGGGAGGGGTAGCGGGATTAATTAAAGCGGCCCCGGGAACACGGTACCGCGGTTTTATGGGAAATCCGTGAACACACCACCTGCCAAAACGGTCGATCGCATGGGACCAAGGAGACCGACGTGATTCGCCTGGTCGTTTAATGACGGCGAGGTTGTGGGAACCCGGTCACGGGTGGAGCGAGCACTCCCCTTAAGTACAGTGATTACGTGACTGGGGACACGGTGCTTGCGTAGCACTCGACGATTATTAACATGGATCGATTCGACTCTTTCCTCTCCCTCGAAAAAACAAAAAAAAGTTCCTGTGGAAATCCGGGAGTAAAAATCGGGCCGCTGAATCCTCTGCAACTTCGTCCATTTTCCACGGGTTTTGGTTATCATCGACGAAATTTCTATTTTCATTTTTTACATAATGTCTTTTGTGCTGAGGAAAATTTTTCTCTCTTTTTTTTCTTTTTTTTTTTTTAAATTTTTCTTTCGTGGATTTAATGGAACTAGAGGTGTTTGCTGCTTAGACGGATGAAGCATATCCACTCTTGGTGAGTGTAACGATTACGTGTCGCGAGGGATACTCGTGGTCGACGACTTTTAACCGGATTGCCGGTAGATTGGTCCGGAACTTCGAGTACATGACGATATATCTCCGACGATCGTGATCGACGGAATTTCTTGCTGGATAACAATATACTGTAAAGAATATAATTTGAAATTTTTTAGAGAATTTATCAGATTCGCGATAAATTCTCCCCCCCCCCCCAACCGTGTAATGACTTTATCGTAATGACAGAAAAATTAGGAAAATTAACGACGATTCGAGGCAAGGACAGCGTGCAGCCAATCTTCGAAATAACTATGATCGATGACATCGCGCAACCGGCGACGAGTGTTCGAGGTGGTTGAACGGGGGGGAGGTGATAGCGTCGAGGGGTGAGATTGCCTTGTCACCTTGACAAATGGTTGGAGAACGAAAGGTACCAGGCAACGTTGAAACGCGAATCCTCTAGTTCCTTAAATTTTTCGTCCCTTCTACCTTCATTCTCGTCCCTTTCTCCACCTGCTTGTCTCTCACGAGGCCCTCGAAGACAGGAGGAACCGACACCCCTGACGACGATTAGTCATTAAACATCGACAGGCTTGACAAATTACCGGGGCTCGAGTTTATTAAATGCAACGACGATGACTCCAGAAAAGAAATGCACTTAAAGACCAACTAAAACGTCGTGAGACCATAAAATATCCATTTAATTGAATCACAGAAAAAAATAGCAGCCCTAAGAAAATTTCTCATCAATTGTGTCGTATACACTGCGTTGCACACCTATAAAAAACTCAAACATTTGTAATCCTTATGTATTGTGGTTAAGATAAAAACGAACCACTTTTTCCTAGGAAGTATTATCTCTCTCTTATGGAGAGAAAATTTCACAGTGATTTTATAGTTATTGTCAAAGTATCTGTGTTTCTCAATTGTTAATGAAGTATGAATAGTTAATTGAATCTATTCAAGGTACCTACCCAAGCCAGTCTCTTTAATCATGCAACGTCTAATTACTTTTCCATCGTTGAAAGCAAACCCACCGATTGATTTTCGTTTAAACACCTATTTTCATTCGCCACGCGATCATCAACGATCAGGACGGTGAATTTTATCCACTGTTGCATAATTTAAATCGTGGAGGGGACGTTTCGGTCGCGAGCATTATTACACATGTCGACGAATCGAAACGCGATCCGTTTGCCCGTGTAAACGCGATGTTCCTATACTCCACGTTCTCCGGTTACGGAATTACGCTCGTCGCGTTCCAACGTCTTCCGCGAACACCGTCGAGCACCATGTATCAGCGGTTTTTTTCTCGAGACACCATTCGAAATTCGACATGTGGTACGACGGTTGTTCATAAATTGATTCCCTGGTTTCGTTTCGCGAAAAGAATTCGATCTCGGGAGGAAGATTGCGTCACTCGAATCAGGGATGAAAGTACAGTTCGCTCCCTTTATTGTGGATCGACGATTTTCACGGTATAACAATTTCGCGTGGGGAGAAATATTTCGATGACATTGATATTGAGAAATAAAAAAAAAACCACAAGGAATCAGCCACCCCCTGAATGGTCGAGTAACGTCACCCGCAAACCGCGCGTTAGAGGGGGCGGTTCACCCTCTACGCCAAAAATCACATTCCTGGCTCGGAACCCTCCGCATTGCTACGTGGTACCGCGTCGAAACCGCCATTCCCATACGCACACACCGGTGAACCGGTGGGCGGTACAGTCGCGTGCAATAATTGCGTTTTTTTTTCCCTTGGCAATAAATCCTCTTTATTTGAATCTCGAGATTCTGGATGAACCTTGGATGAATATCAGAAAAACCTTGGTGTTTCCGAGGGCTACGATAATTAATTCACCGGAGGGTGAATGTTATCTGAAATAAATTCCGTCGGTGGTTTTCCACCGGATCGTGAAAGAATAAAATTACAGATACAGCAACAAGTGTTAGTTATTAATTTTCATTCGAACAGCAAATTTATGCTGGCGTGAACAGCTTGGAATTAGATAGGGCTGTTTGTTGAAAGGGAAAAAGGGACATGTTGCGTTGGACTGTATGCGAAGACACGCGAATTACGCGAAAGGAGAGGAGTCACGCAACCTGCCTGCATGAATGCCTAATGCCTGCGGACAGTGATTTCCACCCTCGGCCGGGGGGCGGCGTCGTCCCCCCTTTCCACGACCAGATGGGGTTCTCACGAGTTCCTGCCCTTAATGCCGCTCATAATCGGGCCCCGATAATGTTCGCTGTCACAACACGCAAACAATGGCCCGCGGCCGATTGAAAAATCAAAGGATTACTCGTGTTCCTCTCGCGGTGCCCGAAGGGGGTGGTTTCGCGCCGGGAACAGAAGGAGGAGCGGGACGTAGACGGGGGAGAAGAGAGATGATACCGAGCAAACAGAGAGACCTGTCCCCTGACGCGCTCGATTTAATTTAATAAAATATTTATACCGATCAGATGAAGTGGTCGCTTGGAACTTTGGGGTTGTTACAGATTGGTATAATTGAATTGGTTCATGGGGTGGAGAACGTATGTTAAATATTTCCTCGATTACAGTGGAAATAAAAGGAAACTCTCGCGTATGTGTTCACCAGTTGTTCGACAGACAAAGAGGGTCGAAAAGTTGCCCCTGAAATTTCCGAACGAAACGCGTCTTTCAATCTCGTGTCCCGACTCGAAGCCAGGGGAGGAGGACAGTCGTCATATTTTTATCTCTCCGCAACACGGAAACACGTTTCTGCCCCGTGGAAAGAGAGTGTGTCGGCTTGACACGCGTTTAATCGACGATGCACCAACGACAATGACACGAAACTGTGTGCGTTTGTCGTGTTCGGTGGGAAGAACGGAGGAAGAGAGAGAGAGAGAGAGAGAGAGAGAGACGAAAAATAATCGTAAAAAGGTAAACGAGAGTAGAGGCGAGAAGGGAGGAGAAAAGAGTCAAATAAATTTCCCGCGTCCCACGGATAATGTATCGTCCGGCGTGAATGGCCGACGAAAGCAGCGACACGTTTTATTATAAAACGACCACGATGCAAAACAAATTTATCGACACACGTCCCGCTCGGCGACGAGAGCTCGCGCACGGTTACACCTTGTCATCGTCTTTGTCTACCGTTCAATGCGTCCACTCGACTTTGTCGGACCGATAATGACCGGTTGTCGGACTAGTTACCTTCGTGGCTGAATGTATGTATTTTTCAGAGAATCCTATCATTTTTACATGGGATCGAATTTTTTTTTCATGAAAGTTTTACTTTATTCTTATTGGGGCACTACCTTCCATTCCAACCCTCTACCAATGTTGTACCGATGCAACACTCATTTTAAAAGTGTATCAAAAACATTCACGTGTTAGTATATTAACATTTTTCAGTAAGCATCCATAGTTTCACTGATGTGACGTGGATCTCCACGTTTATTAATACAGAAATTCATCTATTCTTTCCAAAAATAAATACAAGGTGTAAATAATAGGTCTCTTTAATATTGATTCTTTCGACTTCAAAATAACAAGATACAAGTATATATCAGTCTCGTAATTGTTAAATGGCAATTTAAGGGTCTGGGCGTGAAATGTTTAAATAATCTGTGTATCTATCTCGGCAGTTTCACCGCAAGACAAGGGATTCTTTTCTGTTTCAGGTCGGAGAGTGACCGTAAAATGTTGAATCCAGAAACCGGCTGCTACTCGGAATCCGTACGGGCATGGTGAGTGGCTCGATCAAATAAAAAAGAATAAAAAAAAAACAAGAATAAGAGAAATCAGCGTTAGCGTATAATTTACGGGACGTATAAATCGGGCCGTAACGCCACCTACAAGCTCGAATCGACGATGGCCGGGCGCGCTCTAATCTCCCTGGAATATCTTGGCTCGCGTGCCGCGTGTGTTCTCATCAACGCGTAATCTTAATTAAGTACAAATCGCCCTGTGTACGACGACGTGTTACGCGGCCTGCTACGAGCGTACCTTTCAGATAATCGGCCGCTTAACTTGCTTTTATTTCCCGGTTTCTTGTATCCACCCCCCCCCCCAACCCCCACTGATTTTATTGAAATAATCCTCCAATATTGAAACCACATCCCACATTATCGCGATATTACCGTATTATTACGGCAGTTACTATTACATCGAGACTTTAATATTAGCTTGATAGCCGAGAACGCGTTCGGTGAGCCAAGGACGTCGAGAAAATTGAGTCGCGACTAATATTCTTGGTCTTAAGAATTTCTCCAAAAAAAAGAAAAAAAAAAGAAGATAATACCCTCGATTTATCAACGTTACACATATTTATCGTTCGTTCGGTAACATGAATAGGAACATTACCTATTCCCGTCTACGTCGACTTCTCTAAGTGCAGTCGCGTGCATCTCGTGTGCAAGTGCACTCTCACGCCCATGTCCTGCACGCACTGTAATTGAAATGGAGTGTATTTTAATCCCGTCATTAGGAGCGTTGCTCCAGGAATATCCCCTGAACGAGAGACTGTTTAAGGTAATAGCACGATGCGCTGGTGCACTAGTTGATACTGATTGATAAGACTAAGGAGCTGCGTGATTTTCCTTATTAAACGTTGCACCTGCTTGGAATTCTAACGACACGAGAACAGTAAGTGAGCACACAAGGGTTTTTTTAACCCTCCCTAACCTCCGTTATTTTTAATGTTTCCGTCATCCCCCTGGGTCTTTTATGTCTAGACCTATTTTCTTTTATCTTATGGGCTTCCAAAATGTCTGAAAAAATTCAGGGATACTTCTCAGGGACTTTACTGTACGATCCAAATAGTTGTTGACGTTGAATATTAAAATATTAATATTTAAACCAGCAAAAACTCGAAATTGGAGATATCGCCGTGCAGGACTATTAGAATCGGTCGTCCTCTGTTCCCTTTCATCCCCCAGAATGCTCGGCCATCACAGAGCAGAGAGGACAGAACGATCGTGCTGACTGGAAAACGCATTTCCGAGTTCGTTATTTACATTCAATCATTACCAGCCCGGGCCTTTCAAGCACGGTTGACTTATACGGTTTCGGCTTAATCGAACAATAATTTCGGGGGTGGAATCGGGCGTTATCCAGAGCCAGGCCAGTTCTTTCCCTCGGAAAAACAGGAAAATCGGTATGTCTGCCCGTAAATATGCTTCGCAAGGAAACAAACAAGGGACCGCCGATTCGGTCCAAATTGGGCGAATGAATTTTAACGAACGGTGGTCAGCCACCCCTCTCCTCCCAACTCGAAATATCGAGCCGATTTTTCATAATTCAGCCCGCGGCCGGGCGTAAAATTCAATCCACCTCGCGGCGGCCGTTATTTCCACGTTCCTTGTTTTTCCTCCCCCTCGTCCACTCCCCTTCCCCTCCATTATGCGCCGCGCAAAGGTAATTTCCCGGCTACCCGGCCGGCCTGATGTATTTATAACGAAACGAATTAAACTCGCCGCCGCCCGCGAATAGGTAACAAAACGCTCGCCTCTGTCCGCTGCTGGCCGAGAGTACCAGCCGGAAATAAAATGCCCAAATATTTGCGCGTTTAATTTGAACCACGGCTCGGCACTCGACTTCATGCCGCAAACGTGCGCGCGCGTGCGTTGCCTGGAAGGGTTAATAATGAAATGTCGCATTGTCCGCGAAGGGGTTGCGATTTCGCCACTCCTCCGTTGTCCCCCCCCCTCTCTTTCTCTCTCCACCTTCCTTTAGAATCTTCTGTTCCTTTTTTCGAGGCCGGTTTCCGGTGGTGTAACGTATTGAGAGAGCGAAAGGGGTGCTTTTTCTTACCTTCCTCCCTACTGATTACGATTGAAACTTGAACGCTGGAACTACTGAACCCTGGCTACCGAATATTAATTATTGAAACCCTAAAGATGGTTTCACCGAAATTTGTGTTAACGTTCAATTTATTGTACTCTCTATATTATATTATACTATCAATAATCAATATTGTATTACACGATTTAACTTTGAATATATTTAACACCGATAGTTTTAAACACTCTGGCTTCTTACTTTTTATCTTATTTAAAATAATAATATAGTGTCCCATAGTTCTAGTTTCCAGGAATATTATCGTAAAACTGTCCAGAAGATAATTCTTTCGTGAGAATCTGTAAAGAGGGTAGGCTCTGAAGGAAGGATTTCTCGTCGTGAGTTTCGTGACGGGGGTACGGGCCCCGTCTTCATTTGTTCGTGGACGACAGCGGACGAATGGTAGACGGCGAAGGAAATATATTAGGAGAGTTTGTCAGGGGGCGATTTATCCGCAATCGCGGCGCAGCGCTTTTCCCGGGACATTAGGGACACGATCACCAGTCTGGAGAGAGAGAAGGATCGTTGGCGCTCGCGGACTGGGGGGTGGAGTTGGCCCTTAATGCGATTAAGGTCGTTATCAGATGTCGCCGGCGTTTCTTGCACGATGACGTCGACGTGCTCGTTTGTCATCGCCCCGCGACGCCGCCGTCACGGGGGCTGCATGATTTACTTCCGCTTCCCTCCTTTCGCGCCCTTCGTTTCCTGCCGCGTTGCGACCGGTTCTAGGTACGCGGCGATTCAATTTTTATTTCATTTATTAGCGACTTAAAAAGAACACATTGAACATTAGTCAGGAATTCTAGGACCATCAGGTTCTCGTGCTCGGTGGTGTAGACCCCTTTTTATCGAAGATCTATATAATTTTCATTTAATTACCCTTTAACAAGAGAGGAAGGATATTTGACATTCTAAGAATTGTAGGACTGGTACTTTCCAGTAGTAGATGGTAGATCTTTTTTTATCGAAAATGAACTATACACGTTTTCATCCGATTACTCTTTCACGATGCATATTCCGCAAGGGAGGAAGGAAGCACTCATTATCGAACGGCGTAAAGATCGATTGTTCGCGAGAGTTCGCGTGCGACACGCGGCCGGACATACGTGTCTGAAGGTATTTCGAGATTCGTTAAGCCCCCAGTCGTGTCACACCCACCCTTCGCGGTAACATCGTCTCGACGTCGCATTAGCTCGCGAGGATGGGGTGGAAAGTCTTCGTCTACGAGAAAAGTAGTTCCGCGAAGAATGGTCTGTTCTGAAATACGTGGAACGAAGACAGACAAGCGATAGCAAAAGGAAGGAGAAAAAAGAAGACTTCTCGTGGTCAGGCTTCGAGGGTGTGGCCAGGAGATAGGGATGATTAGAAGCTACACCCCCGAGGCGCACGAGCCCTGCTCGGGAGGGTGCAGGAAAATTCATGGAGTTACTTAGCCAGGCTTCCAGACTCACTCGTTTATCTTACCACCGGAGTGGGGGGGGGGGAGAGAAGAAGGAAGTCGTTACGTCGTCGAGAGGCCGCCCCGGGGTCGAGGCTGTAATCCTAATTAATAATTAATTACCACGGGAGGGGAATAAATGGCCGATTGAATTCTTCCTGCGTTAAGGGAGCCCGCGTGATTTATCGGGACGATTCTCTATGGTCCCGGAAACTTGCGCCAATAAACGGCTCGATTAACGTCCCCAAGACTTTGGTCCTCCTATTCCTGGGATTTCTGTTCAGGGGAGGGGAGGGGGTGGTTCCAAATGGGAACCTATTAAAACTGAGAGGTGTTTGAAGAGAAAGTTCGGTGTTGAAATCTTCACTGGACCATTCAAAGGAGACTGGATACGATAAAAGAACATTATTGATCTTTCGAATAAAATGCTCACTTTGTGAAATTAAATTGTCGACTAAATATTGCTTACAGGAGACTATCAAATACAGAACATCGATGTCGGAATAAATAACCTATTTTCCGTTCGACTTTTCTGTGACTTCTCCAACTTCCATGGAGGAGGGGAAGTCACGGTTAAGAAAATATTGGGCAAGTTTTACGATGGAAAAAACAGGAGGGAAGAGTTTTGGTGTTTCAGAACGTAGTCCGACCGAGAGATCCTTCGACAACGCGGCTAAAAGTGTGCCCTTACATGGACGGCTTGGGCCGGGAGCACCCTAGTTTGTCAAGACGACCCTTCGGTGTCGCTTACAAGACAGCAAATTTGTCCGAGATAAGCAAAACAAACTGAGTGCGCACGAGCCCACGTTCCTTTTGGACCTTTCGTTTTTGCCTGCTTCTCTGTGTCTTTCGTTCTGGTCCTTTGAGGCAGCGAGGACGCGACTGGAAGGGTTTAATTGGTGGTTCGTTTGATCCGAGAGATTCGCGTTCGGTGAATTAATTTCGAGGCTTTGACTTTTCCCAATTCCATATCTTCTTTCTTTCCTTCCTTCAAGTACTTCCGTAATAAAACAAAACATGGAACGCATAGGTATTCTATAGGAAATAAGAATATTTCGCCTAGTTAATCCAATAGAGCCCAGACAGTCCCCGATGACACGCAGAGGGTCGCAAAAGTTATGGTTCGATTCCGCGAAACCTCTGTTTCAGTCGCTTTCTCGAACTCGGCCCTCTACGGGGATTTGCATACATTAGATTTTATCCTTCCGAGAATGTTCGTCTTCGAGATGCACGTATTTATGGGAGTCCCGCGTATAATGGCCCCGAATTTAGGATGGAATCCTGGTGGTAACTTGATTATGACGCCTGATTTAGAGAGGTCCCCGTCGAACGTGTACTCTCGATTTTCGAAAACATTCTTATGCAACGAATACCCCTTTAACAACGTGTCATACAATCTCATGGGAATACTACTAGTGTTTGTCTTTGGGTGCAAAATACTCCGTCTAACGTGAAGTGTATCGAATTAAT